AAAAAAAAAAAAAAAATAAGTAAGTTTTAATAAAAGAAACAGCACCAAAACTCTCCAAGTTCACCCATTAAATGATGTTTGCTCCTCAGAATGTGACTCGGCACTCTTGCTGGCAGAAAGGGCTCTGGTTCAAAGAAGATGAGTGGAAAGATGGGTGAGGAAAAAGGAAATATGAAGAAAATTAAGAGCTCCCTAGGAAGCAACACTTGCTTCTTCTGGGAAGACTTCAGCTGAGCAATAATCATCTCAAACTTCCTCTGCTCTGCTGATGGCTCACAAACAATTCTAGAAAAGTCTGGACATTCTGTAGTTGCTCAGAATTCTTACAGTTATAACCCGTCACTGAGTGATTTCAATGAAACTCCCAGTGAATTACACTGCTTATGCTTATGTAGGCACAAATAGAAATAAATAAATCAGTGTGTAATCAGCCAGGCGTTAGGCTTTTCTGGCATCTTTTGAAATACTGGTAACAGACTAAAATTGCAAAATCAGATTCTTAGAGTCAATCTCAAAGCCATAGGAAAGTGTGATTTAGATAGTGCTAGATGTGAGTTTGGAGAGACACTTTTAGGAAGTACAACCCACTCTGGTTTGTGTTCTGAGGTTGGTTCTCCCAGGCTTATTTGTAAATCCGTGAGTTCACGCCTGCCACACCCAGGCTTAGTGGCCATTGTGGCCACCTCAGCCTGAGCTTGGCCACACTTGGGCTCATGACAAAGATGCTCAGCACTCCTATGCCAAACTAATTATGTAAAATAAATAGTTGGGTATGTTAAGAAAACTTAACTAACGCATCTAAGTAAACGTTTTATCATTACTAACAAAATACAGAACCAAAGAAAACAATTGCAGAGTAAAATCTTTTTGATTTAGATGAGGTTTACTTTGACTGCTTTTTCTTACAGTCTGCAGAGTCATGTTAACAGCAAATTGCATGTCTAACCATATATTACTGTTGTCTCTCTTCCACTTTGCTGAAAGCTGTAGAATCAGATATCTCTGCTGGTCCATATTTTGGAGTTATGGAACAACCTGCCCACTCATTCTGGAATTGTAGGACTTCTTCCTAAGGTAAAACCATTAAAATCATACTTAAGAGAGTCTCTTGTCAAATGAGAACTCTTGGAACTTCCTTTTCCAGTGACTTTATTCAGACATAAAATAATCCCAACCTGCTGTAAGTCTACTGAAAAACTACCGGTGGCCTTGTTACACTGAAGACTTATTTTCAAATAATGAGCGTTATTTGATGATAGAAATGCCTTCAGAGTGCATCACATCCCTTTGTGGCACCAAAGGCTAAGGGAAAAGTGGGGAGGCCATCTTTCCAGATTCAACAGAATATGGGGAGCCATAGAGTAGCTCTGTGTCAAGAGAGTAAGGAAGGAGGAGAAGAGCAGAATAAGGAAGGAAGAGAGAGGCCTTACTGGCTACAGAAGGACATGGTCTGTCCCAGAACTGGGTCTGAGCAGTGAAGCTCCCTGGGAGAAGACACCACAATTAGGAGAAGGGAAAACTGAATGAGTGGTGAGGCATTCGGAGGGCTCAGAGCCCGCTCACCCCAGAGAGTGGTATTCCCATAAATGGTACCATGGCTGGAGATCAAGGACCAGCTTCAATCAGTATGCACACAGCCTGTTTGGCAAGAATGAAAAGATACTGTCACATTCATTATTCCTCTGTGTTTAACTCTCCAGTGGTCTTACATTAAATCACCAAGTTCCAGGTGCTGCTAAATCCCCCACTCCGTGGACCCTCACTGGGCCCTTGTGGCCTTTGGGCCCCAGCCGGACTCACTTTCCATGTGCTCCTACTTGGCTTCTGCTCCTCCCAGCTCTTTCTCCACCTGAAACACCCCTCCCACTTCAAACCAACTGCAATACACTTTAGTCTTGGTTTAAATCCATTTGTTTATGGAAATCTACCCAAATTTACATCATTTTCTCTTTGAGCACTTTACATGATTAAGACATAATTTGTCTTCCACAGGAGACTTGAAGATCATTGAAAACAGGAGCCATATCTGCTCTGCCAACCACCCAACATGAGGCCTGACTTAGGGCAGGGGCTCAAGAAACCTTGCTGCCAGAGACTGAGGAGGAAGGAAATGTGCAGAAATATGTGGATAGTCACCGCTGTCTTCCGATATTGTAAAACCCCCTTAGATTTATGTCTCCTAACTACGCAGTACAGTTTTCTCTAAGGATTATGTAAAATTTTAAACAAATTCGACATTTCTAATAATTTACAGCACAATTTTAAGCTATCTTCAAAGGCAAAATATGACATTTCTCCTAATTGCACAGATACTCGGTTTTCTCTTCAGATCGTATACATCTTTCTCCTTTTACTAATTGCACAGAGAAAAAGATGCAGAAGAATCGAAATAGTGTAGCAAAATACATGGTTTTCCTGCCACCGTAGCCCACTAATTTAGTAGATTTTTAATCAGGATTCTGATTACTACGTCCTGCTGTCCGTTGCTCTAGGTGGCTGTACCCACAAAAATGAAAGCATCTGGGCCAGAATTCACCAGGTGGAAAGATGGGACCCAGTACTAGAGGGCAGAGATAATTAATGAATAGGTAAGACCGATCTAGATTCTTCTGGCATGTAGTTGAGTTAGACCTAGAAGAGCACTTCTCAAACTTTAGCTTGCATGGGAGTTACATGAGATCTAGTTAAAAATTCCGATTCTGATTGAGTAAGCATAGAGTGGAGCTCAAGATTCTGCTTTTCTCAAAAAACAGATAGGACTGGTCAAAATGGATTGGCACAGGTCAGGAGACCACAATCATGTACTCAAAGATTATCTTCACTGAGGAGTGCCTAAAGTGATGCATCTCAGTGACCGCTCAGGCCACCTTTGGCCAGCAGAGGGTAGCAGAGGGCAGGGTAAATTGCACCAGCTCCCATAGGACAAAGCTAAACATGGGTAAGAAAGCAGTTGGAAAAACAGTTCACCCAGCACTTAGGAAGATGAGGCAGGAGGATCCTGAGTTCAAGGCCAGCCTGGGCTATATAGCGAGATCCTGTCTTGAAAAAGAACAGAAGAACAAAAGGGGCTGGGGGCTGAGAGAATCAGCAATATGAAGGAGATGTTCTTAGGTGCCAGAATAAACTCACCGAAGGCAGCAATCCGTAACAGTAGAAAGACCACCAATCAGAAGTAGGTGGCAGATTCAAGTAGTGAACTTAGGCCGTCTACTCACCACCTTGATTTCCTCATCTGAAAAACAATAAATGCAATGGGTGCTGCCAACCTTTGAATCCTGTGAGTCCTGTGAGCAAAGGATGAGAAGAAAAAGGAAAGACCTCTGTGGAGAGATGGCTGGTGGCCAGGAGGAGTGGGGTTCACTCACAAACAGCAGTGACTGGGCTACAGGTTGCTGGGGCTTCTAATTTTTTTAAATTTGTTACAAAGATAACTTGCAAATTGGTTTGAAGTCAAATAGGACCAAAATGCTAATAAACAAAACAGCTGTGCTTTGTTTCTCTTCTTATTCTTCCTTTTTCCAAAAGAGCACTGAAATCCTTTACTGTTTCTTCTGTATTTTGTGTCCATGTTTATGAATTTGTGTGGTTCAACTCACTATGATGTTTTACTGATGTTTTAAGATTTTCAATTATACCACCTCTTCCCCTTTATTATTCTCCAAATATGATGCATTTAATTTTTTTTATTATGTCTGTATTTGCCATTTCCATTGTGTACTTATGTAAATGTTTACTTATGTTTACCAATAAGTAATATTCTATGGTTATATTTAATTCCTTGTACAACTTTTTGTTTGTACTTGAAATAATAATTGTTTAACTTGTTCTGTTGGCTTAGTTTTCTTTGAATGTGTGACTGTATTTTGCACACCTTCCAATAACTCTATAAAATGTTTCTGTCAAAGAAGTTTCTACAGGATGACTGGTCTACCAGGCCCCTCGTGCAATCCTCCTGGAGAGCTAAGAGGGATCCTCCTCCGCTGGTCGACAGGAAACCCACCAACTCTGAGGAGCTGGAGGATAGGGAGGACTTGTTCACCAGCACTGTCTCCTCATTGGAGTCAAGCCCATCATCTGCAGAACCAGCTAGTCTTCCTGCAGAGGTTAGTAGTGCAAACTCCAATGGACCAAACTGTCAGAAGTGGTACTGATGACAGAGATCCTTTTGCAGAAGCCACAGAAGAAGTTTCTTTGGACAGCCCAGAAAGAGACCCTATCCTGTCCTCAAAGTCTTTCCCTGCAGTCACACCAGTCACCCCTACTGCACTCGTTGCTCCTAGAATTGAGTCTGTCAATTCGAGAAATCCTAGAAATGTGTATGTCAGCTCCTGTGATCTTTGACAGATCCAGGGAAGGGACTGAAGAAGAAGCAAATGGAGATAAATTGCTGTGTCAGCTCCAGAAAAAGATCAGAAAGAGGTGATGGCATGAATGCTTACATGGCATACAGAGCAACGATGATGACTTCTCTTTCCATGTTCAGTAAGAGTGAATTCTCAGTTAAAAGAAGATTCAGTGGCTTTCTTGGTTTGCACAGCAAACTAGCAAGCAAGTATTCACATGTTGGTTATATTGTGCCACCAGCTCCAGAGAAGAGTACAGTAGGTATGACCAAGGTTAAAGTAGGTAAGGAAGACTCCTCATCCACTGAGTTGGCAGAAAAACGAAGAGCACACTTGAAAAGTATCTTCAAAGAACAGTAAGACATCCAACTTTACTATAGGATCCTGATTTAAGGCAATTCTTGGAAAGTTCAGAGCTGCCTAGAGCGGTTAATAACAGGCTCTGAGTGGAGCCAGAATATTGAGGATGGTGAACAAGGCTGCACAAGGATGTTGTCAACAAAATGGCAATCAAGATGAATGAATTGGATGCATGGTTTGAAGAAAAGCAGCAACAATTTGAGAATCTCGACCAGCAGCTTAGGAAACTCCATTTCAGTGTCAAAGCCTTGGTTTGTCATAGAAAAGAACTTTCAGCTAACACAACTGCCTTTGCTAAAAGTGCTGCCATGTTAGGTAATTGTGAGGATCATACTGCTTTATCTAGAGCTTTGTCTCAGCTTGCAGAGGTTGAGGAGAAAACAGACCAGTTGCATCAAGAACTAGCTTTTGCTGACTTTTATATGTTTTCAGAACGTAGTGACTACATTCGTTTTATTTCTGCAGTGAAAGGCGTGTTTGACCATCAAATGAAGAGTTGACAAAAATAGAAAGATGCTCAAATTACTTTGCTCAAAAAATCTGAAACTGAGGCAGAAGTGATGGTCACCAACCAACCAGATAAAATGCAGCGAGCTAAAATTGAAATAAGAGAGTGGGAGGTGAAAGTACAGCAAGGAGAGAGAGATTATGAACAGATTCGAAAAGAAGTGGGAATATTTGAGAAAGAACAAGTAAAGGATTTGAAAACTGTTATCATCAAGTACTTAGAATCATTAGTACAAATGCAACAACAGCTGAGAAAATACCGGGCGGCTTTCCTACCTGAAGCCAAAGCCTTTGTTCCGCTTAAGAAGACATTAGATGTTGCTCCAGTTATCCTGAACTCCACAATGAACTCATTTAAAACCATTCAAATAAACCACTATATATTTTATGAATTACATGTGCTTTTTTACATATAAGTACATAAATACACACACACGTGTGCGCACGCACACACACACACACACAATCTGACATTTTATCACTGCTGCATGTCCTGTCTTTGAATTAAGTGGACTGTGGCATGACATTCTGCAATACTTTGCTGAATTGAACACTACTGTATCTTAAATACTTGCACTAAAATGTGCACTGCAAGGCCAGAAAATTTTACAATATTTTTTCTTTATATTCTGTAGTATGTTTACCTTCCTAATGAAATGAATTATCAATGCATTATTAATGTTCACTTTTACATTCCTGCACAGAAATTATGATTTTTGTGACTATAGTAATAAAATGATATTCCTTGTTGGAAAAAAAGGAAACTTCCACATGGGGGATTGGTCAGATTATTCTTCGGCTTCATATTTTTTGTGTTGGATTTCATGTTTCCTGGATCCCATTCTTCCTCCTCTCTGTCTTGTTTCCTTCTTTTAATAGAACTTGCACCCAGTGAGGGCCACCAGCCCTTATGTCCGTGTCTTCTGTCATGGTCATTGCTGTCTTAAGCACATCCTCTTGAGACTCCTCAGGAAGAACTTGTGCAATCAGTGCTACCGAACATTTGTCGTGGTCTTTTAAAAATGTCTGATCCCTTTTCATTTGAAAGTGAACTTGGCTGGGAATAAATTCCTTAGTTTACATTTTCTTACCTTAAGTATTTTTTTCATGATTTCTGGCTGATTTCTGGCTAACACAATGCTTTTGAGTGATCAGATGAAAATTTTATTTCCTTTTCCTGCCACATGAATTATCTTTAGCATGGATGCTGAAAGAATTGTTTCTCTGCTCTCTTCAGTGCAGTATGTTTACTAATATACCTCTTAGTGTGGTTTGGGGGGGGTCAGTTTTCCCAAGTATGTTCTCTATTAATACACACCTTGAAATCATCTTTTATTTTTTAAGAAAGTTTTCTAAAATTATGGATTTTAGCATTTTGCTGCATTCCATTTATTTGGTTTTCTTCTTTAGGATTTCCTATAAAATATATACTGGATCTTCTTGTCCTTATATCTATTGCTTTCTCTCAAATACTTTCTTCTTCTTCATTCTTGTTTGTTTGCAAAATATTGCCCTTTTCTTCTATATTTGAAATGAATTTTATTGGTACATTTTAGATATACATAACGATCACATTCATCATGGGGCATTTGTATCTGTACATAATACATCTTGATTCTTCTTTTTTCTGCAATCCCTTCCCCTCCCTTCAATCTCTCTTCCCTCCTTATTTTCAAAAGCTTTGCTTTTATTCTTTTACTTCTATTCTTCTTTCTCGCCCCCCACTTCCGTTGTCTCCTTTCTCGTTTGGACAGTTTCTTCCTATTTCCCAACATCTGTTTTCCATTACGGTCCGTATTTACCCTTTTGGTTTCTCACACCAGAGAAATAATACAATATTTAAACATGTGTCTTATTTATTTAATTTAACAATACGGTGCAATGTGCATCCATTTACCTAGAAATGTCTCATTTATCTTTCTTTATGGCAGAGTACTGTTCCACTGTATTTTTTAAAATCTTTATCCATTCACCTGTTGATGGGCATTTGGGCCATTTCCAAGATTTAGTTATTACAAATTGTGCCACTATAAACACGGGTGTGCATATAACACTATGGTATGATTCTTATAAATCTTTCGAGAAAATACCAACAAAGAGGAAAACTGGATCAAATGGAACTTCTAGCTTTAGTTTCTTGAGGGATCTCCCCAGTAGTTGCATCAGTCTACACTCCCACCAACAGTGGAGAAGAGTTTCTTCTTCTATTTAAAACAATATCCACTATGCTAATTTGCTTTTCTTTTCTTCTAAGTTTTATCAATCCTGAATTTTCAATTTTTTATTTTTTTCTGTACCTCTTACCATTTTAATGTTTCTCTTGCCCTGTATCTCATTTCTGAATTTTTGTCTAA